TAAGGCCTGTAGCTTGCTGGGATGAAGGACTACCAAGTTTGTTCAAATGAATGACCTTGACCCACTTTAAAGGTCACAGGGGTCAAATATGTTAAAATCTTTAAACAACTTCTTCTCAATAACCAAAAGGCTCAGATTGCTGATATTGTGCCTGTGGCATGCTGGGATGAAGGGCTATCAAGTTTGTTTAAATGAATGACCTTGAACAACTTTCAAGGTCACAGGGGTCAAATATGTCAAAATCTTTAAATAACTTCTTCTCAAATACTAGAAGGCCTAGGGGGCTAATACTTGGCCCATAGTATGCTGGCATGGAGCCCTACAAAGTTTGTTCAAATGAATGACCTTGGCCCACTTTCAAGGTCACAGGGGTCAAATATGTTAAAATATACAAAGGACTTCATCTCAATAAGCAAAAGTCTATGAGTGCCGATATTGGGTCTGTAGCATGCTGGGAGGAAAGGCTTCCAAGTTTATTCAAATGAATGACCTCAACCCACTTTCAAGGTCACAGGGGTCAAATATGTTAAAATATACAAACGACTTCTTCTCAGCAAGCAAAAGTCCATGAGTGCTGATATTGGGCCTGTAAGATGCTTGGAGGAGAGGCTACCAAGTTTGTTCAAATGAATGACCTCAACCCACTTTCTAGGTTTGGCTTGCTTTTTGTCAGATGACCGTTAAGGCCCATGGGCCTCTTGTTAGTGAAACATTCTCTATGAAGCGTTAAGTTACGTTCGGTACACTGACGTCAATTACTTGACAATGTGGTGAGAGGTCATTAATGGAAACGTCCAATACAAAGTCTATTTAATATCGCGTGTGACCACCATTTGCGTTAATCATAGCGTTGATTCTTCTCCTCATGGACCTGGTATGTCGTAGGATAGTGTTCCTAGGAATGATCCGCCATTCCTCATGGAGAGCCTACTCAAGTTCTGCCAAAGTTGTTGGTGGGTTTTGGTGTTGACGTACACAGCAGTTTAAGAAATCCCGAATGTGCTCTGTCGGATTTAAAGCCAGGGATTTTGATGGCCACGGCAACACATTAATGTTATTGGTCCTCAGGAAGTTTTTTGTTGCCCGTGCAGTATGCAGGGTGGCGTTGTCATGTATTAACATCAAATTTGGGCCATGATGTCTGAAATATAGTAAAACCTCTCGGTTCAGTACCTCAGCGCAGTGCCTTGCTGCAGTAAGATTCCCCGGAATCATGATCAGATCTGTTTCGTAATTTTGTCTGATTCCTCCCCACACCATAACACTTACCCCTCCCCAACGGTGGAACTATTGTACACAGTTATCGTGAAAACGTTCTCCCCGACGTCTCCATAATCTACAGTGTCCATCGCACATGCTGAGACAAAATCTTGATTTGTCTGTGAAAACTACACGATTCCAGACCCGTTGGTGTTGAAATTGATGTCGACGAGCCCACTGAAGACGTTGTTGATGACGTTATGACAGAACCGCTGAGCTTTTAACAAAAAAGATTTCAGCCTTCTTCGAATTGTCCATGGACTGACACAATTCCGAAAATAAAGTCTTGATGTCAACGCTGATGTCAAATAACGATCCCAGAGATGACAAAGACAGATGTACCTGTCCTCTCTGGCGAATGTTTCACGCGGGCATCCACTTCCTGGAAGATCTTTTGTTGTTCCATGAATCCTATACTTTCTCCACAATTTAACAATTGTCAGTCGTGTCATGATAAACGTTCAGGCAATGCCAGTTTGTCTGACGTTGACTAGGAGCATTCCAACTGCCCTGTCTCTTTATTCCTTTGTAAGTCGTGGCATATCTGTATTTGTCAATTATCAATGGCAAATTGCCGGGATACGTCCCTAGTACAGATGTAAGCGCAGGTAACACGATACACACTGATAGCATGCACGTGCAAAGTTAGAAAAACAGCAACATTTGGTTAGACGTTTTTATGCTTGGATGGTTTTTCGTTTGTTTTTATTTCAGAATAAGATTTTGTGTCAGGAATATCATGTTTATAAATTATATTGATCTTTCTCTCACTTTTAAAAAGAAATATATTTTTCACATGTATACTTACTTTTGCACCTCAGTATACTTGACTACACATTTTCTGATACAACATTGAACATTCTGTAGAATAGCAGAATAGATGTGATAGTTATAACACAAGAATTAAAATAAGGGGATTTTATTGGATAAGTCTGTCTGTTCATCCGTCCATCACTCTGACATCCTACACAGTGACATTCTGGTGCTGGAATTTCTGCTTGAAGAATTAGGGTATAATACGTTTTGATGAATTGTCTTTCACTTTTATTTGATAAATTGGATGTTTCTTACCATTAAATAGCTTTTAAGCTTTCACATGTTGTAACAGCTACAGATCTGACACTGCAAAAGAACCATCATGAATCATCATAAGTGAATCCAAAATGATATTTCCCATGCCAAATCTTATTCATTGCATGACGACAAGAACCATGATGTTCTAACCCAAAATGTTGTTTCCAATGTCAAAACTTTTTATACCAAAACATGTCTATTTCATGATAAGAACCATCGTAGACCGATGTTAAGATACCACTATCCACACCAAACATATCTCAAACAGAATCATAGCTGATCAGACTGATATATGTCAGATCCATAAATGCACGGCTGCCTATTGTTGAGACATAATGAAATACGCTTTAAGAATACTGGTTACATACCGAAGATAAAAAGTGGAGATTTCATAAACTGGAGCTAATATAAATTTTTGATAGATTAATGATTACTGATGATAGCCATGTATTAGGACGGAGGTTAATCAACCTTTTATGTCTGGTCAATGACATTTGTTACCTAGAAAATGTGACAGGTATTCTTATATATTGGCCCAGTGAGATCAAACTATGTGTGACACTCATCCACAAACAATCCACCGAGGACACAGGTTATTTTTGTCTGTATCGGATGTGTCCAAACTGTCACTAGATAACAATCAGGACACTGTATGTCCAGATAATCCCAGGCACAGCTGTTTCATACCAAGTCATTAATCAAAGTTGGGTTCAGTTTCCTTATTTAGTAGACAAGTTCTCTGATGGACATAATCTTCACAGATACCATTTGTTATCAATTGAGAAATAATTATGGACATCAATTCATCACTTTTATTAGCTCACCTGCCTTAGGGCAAGTGAGTTAAGGCAGTGTCATGTTTACAGTGTCCAGCATCAACTTTTCCATTCAAACAACTTCTTTTCAATAACCAAAAGGTACCTGGTGCTGATATTGGGCCTGTAGCATGCCATGATGAAGGGCCAATAAGTTTGTTCAAATGACTGATCAGAACTACAGAGTGTTTTTGCAAATGAATGGCCTTCACCCACTTTCAAGGTCACAGGGATCAACTGTGTTAAAATCTTCAAATGACTTCTAAATAACCAACAAACCTAGGCTCCTGATATTGGCCGTTGCTTACCAAGATGAAGGACTACCATGTGTGTTCAAATAAATGACCTTGACCAACTTTCAAGGAACATGGATAAAAATATGTTTAAATTTTTTAATTTGTTTTTAAAAACAAGTGTGTTCTGAGACATGGTATTCAGGAAGTATGAAAAAAAGACTTGAAAGTTTGTAGAAATTGACTTGGCATACTGACAGTCTGCTGTGTAAGCTGCAGAATGAGTGAGAGATTCGGGTCTATTGGGATTCTTTTTTATTGGGCATTACAGACAAATACAGAAAATTTCTCTATAAAAAGGTTACTTTTTCATTTAATGGTTAATGTAAAGTTTATGTAGTACAAGTGAGGAAAAACGTGTGATTTTAAACTTCTTAAAAGTATTTGTATTGATGGTCTATTGACAATCCAACATCTTTAAAGAACATGTTTTCAATTGTTTATGTTGTAATAAACTTATTGCATTAGGTTTTTCTTGTCTTGTAAATAGAGACAAAGTTACTGATATCGTTTTTTCAAAAGTTAGGATGTGCAAGGTATGGTGATACAATTTTGAAATAGCTGAAATATTAGTACTATTATATTTTTGATACATGTAAAATGATGTCATTTCCAGTTGCACTGATTTTTACGACAGAAATCTATTGTTACATTGAGGATGTGTTAGAGAAGCAGAGTTGATCTGTACTACGATGATAACCTGTATACTTCAGGGCAGCTATTAAGTTTACAGAACAGCATGCCTATTAACCTCAATATCAAGTAAAGGTCGCAGGAAAACTATTAAAACTACTGATACTAGGACCAATAGTACTATCCTTGTGTGTAAAAATAGAGATAATGTGTGTGGATCACTTTGGGTTTGGAGGCTGTTTTTGTTCTCTTGTGTATGTCTTTGAATGTACTGTAATAGGTTTGATTACCATCAGCTTGAATTAAGAGGTGATCATGTAACTCTGTTTAGACTTTTTTACTAGAAATCTATTAGGTAAGAATATCTTTGGCAATTATATATTGTTGCCAAGCAAAAACTTGACAAAAAAGCAATTACTGAAATTGGGAAAACTTCAGAGGATTTCAAAAGAAAACTCAATAAGGAAATCTGAAAAAGGAAAGAAATTGACAAACAGATTCAATGTATGGGAAGGATTTTATTCCAGTTCTTAGTTATCTATACACTACATGTGTATATGTTTTATTGGTAGGTTGTTTACTTGCAACAGATTTTAAAACCAATAATTCCAAAAGTCTCAATTTTTACAAAAATAAATTTAATTTAAATTAAATCTAAAATTTCCTGTGTAATAAAAAGTTGCTTTAAATTCTGAGAATCCTTGAAAAACCTGCCAAATGTAACATAGCATCAAAATCAAACAATCTAACATGTCCACAGTGGTGAAATGGGGCGCTTTTGGTATTTGTGCATGATTAAAGAATATTGGAGTACACTAGTGATTCAGTGTTCTGGTAAGCATCTTCAGAGAAAAGTTGCTCAAGGAAGGAATCATAATTTTATTATGCTGACTTTTAAACATCACATGTTTTTTTTCTGTTTTAGATGATGAAGAAAACTCTCTGCTGGCTGGTAAATTTGAGGTGAGTGATCTAACACAAGGTACCATATTTGACCTACACAATACTCCATCTCTAGCCTTTCTGGTTGTTCTAGTTATCTTACTTTATATACTCAATAATCTCCCTCCTCTTTACAGTGTGAACACACAGTATTGTATTTGACCTATTAATGACCTACCACTATCCTTGTTTCCTGACCTACAGGGTATAGTATTAGACCTATTAATGACCCACCACTATCCTTGTTTCCTGACCTACAGGGTATTGTATTTGACCTATTAATGACCCACCACTATCCTTTTTTTCCTGACCTACAGGGTATTGTATTTGACCTGTTAATGACCCACCACTATCCTTGTTTCCTGACCTACAGGGTATTGTATTTGACCTAATAACGACCCACCACTATCCTTTTTTCCTGACCTACAGGGTATTGTATTTGACCTGTTAATGACCCACCACTATCCTTGTTTCCTGACCTACAGGGCATTGTATTTGACCTATTAATGACCCACCACTATCCTTGTTTTCTGACCTACAGGGTATTGTATTTGACCTATTAATGACCCACCACTATCCTTGTTTCCTGACCTACAGGGTATTGTATTTGACCTGTTAATGACCCACCACTATCCTTGTTTCCTGACCTACAGGGTATTGTATTTGACCTATTAATGACCCACCACTATCCTTTACCCTGACCTACAGGGTATTGTATTTGACCTATTAATGACCCACCACTATCCTTGTTTCCTGACCTACAGGGTATTGTATTTGACCTGTTTATGGTCCATCTCTCATCAAATTTTTAGTTTTAGTGTTTGTAATTGATTTGATTTTTCAGAGTTCCAAAGTGCCTTCTGAAAAAATCAAATGTAGAACTGCAGAAAATGACTCCAGTTCAGTGCCAATTTATTGTGCAAAAGGGAACTTTCTATATGTCATGTCAGCAATGAACAACTGATATTTCACTACAATAAAACACTTGGGGGAAAAAATGTATGTAGGGCCCTAATTTAACTAAAACACTTTTTTTAAATGCCTTTATTAAGCAAGTGTTGTTTGATATTACTCCAGGGAAATACCAGTCCCAGTATACCAAGTCAGTTACAAACAAATGGATAGCTTTATTGTGACCTAGGTTAATATACCAACCTTAACATCCTGTAACAATTGTATACTTGTAGAAAGACAGAGAGGAAGGTATATAACAAATGCCTTATCCAAAACACACAGTTTTTTCTCAGCCGTAGAATTTTAGGATGGGCTCTTACTTGCCACTCCAAACCTCCCCAGACACCATTTGTCACTTGTTTCTCTGTAACATTGTAAGGGAAGGACAATTGTATAAACATTCAATATGTAAACAAATCAATTCAGTGAAGTTTTAGAAGAAAATTGTTAATGCTCTTTGACCAATGAATGCCATTCATTTCTGAATCAAAATCACTTTTATTGAAAACCGAGTCTTCTATTTACTCTTATTTCCTTGTTCTGTTTGGTTCAAAACTCCTATGTTCACTTGCAATTATAATTTTGAACATTGTCTCGTTCATTTAACTTAAATTACTCCCACTTGCTTTAAAGATATGCCTTCCATATTCTGTTACCATTAGATTTATATTTTTCATAATACTATTTTTTACACAGAAAGTTCCAATGAAGGATTTTCATGCTGAGATTCGAGCATTCCGTGATGTTGAAGATTTCCTTAACCGAACAGTTCTCATCCTTGACCTTCCAACAACAGGGCTCACCCAGATTGTCGACACCATGCTCAACAAACTCCATAGCAACAAAGAGGTTGGATTGACCTTCACCTTAGAAGAGGCTAGACTTGCCATCTTTACCCAGAATTCTGGTATGCTGATTCTCCTGAACTCTTAGTCAGCAGTATCAGGCTCTAATCCATTCAATGTCCCTTTCCTTACCTGTTCTGTTCTATCAGCTATACTATCCCAATATCATAAGGTTTCAGAATGTTTGTGTATTTACTAGTAGATATACAAATATTTTATAAAGTAACACATTTCCATGTTACTTGTTTTGTACTTACTAACAACTAAACAAATGTTCTGCAATTTCATGGGCTTGAAAGCTGGGATCATTCATTCAGTCAGAGCATTGGCCTACATAACATCAGATAATATTGGTGATGCATTGTTCAGGGCTCCTTATCCATGGTGGTTTGTGTTCCTCAGGAATCTGAGAAATGCACCTATCTATGCTGACATGGCCATGTCCTTGAGCAAGTCACTTGACCTTATTGCTCTGAATGGTATGTAATGTGCCTTCTGTATGTTGTTCACTGAGGTGTCCACCAGCTATTATAAGGAGGCCCCACCTCAAACTGACCTTGGTTGTTTTCATGGTGATAAAGCCATCAAACAAATCAAATAATTGGCTTTTGGGAAGCTTCTTAAATTCAAAAATTTTCCTCGAGATTGATCTTGACGTGCAAACCATAATTTCTGCAGCAGGACAGGACGGTTCAAACATAATTATTGTGTATGAGTCTGGAAACATGTAATTGACTTGCTACAGTAGAAGTATGCTAATGTCTTTTAATATTTCTCCAACAAAATCACAGACAAAATATGTTATGTTCTCACAAGTAGTTTGATCTCATAGATTCAAATTTCATACAAACTTTGAAGAATCTCTGAAATTCAAACACAAAATTTTCATGGAATAGGAAAGTTCAAACATACCTAACATAATTTCCTCGCTCAGAAAAGGGTAAAGGGCAACAACCCTTTAGGTAAGAACACAAGGTGGACAAAGATACACCTTTTTACTGGGTCTCACTGTAACAGATTGCTGGGGATCAAATTATTTACTTCTCAGGGAGATTCTCTAGCAGATTCAGTAAGAAGGAGTAAGTGACCATTACTTTAATAATCTGAAAGAATTTAGGAGCTTGGAATAAATATAATGTTCGCTAAATGATTTACTTTTCTTGGTATGGTGTAATTTGTCTCAAACAGTACATCTACTCAGCCGAACCATTCAAGGCACCACATTCAGTGAGGAGTGCGGCTTCCAGATTGACCAGTCCTGGATTTGTATCTTGTAAGTTATTTTAGATAGCATATTTTGTAATATGTAAAAAGCCTATTTTTTATAGTATATTTTGTTTTGTATTAAGATTCTATTGACAGTCTTTCCTTTGTTGTTTGATTTATACTACATGATGTGTGTCTCCAATTATACGAGATGACAAGAGTGAATAGTGTAGTTACCCTAGATAACATAGGTTTCTAGAATAAAAGTTCTTATAACAGAACCTTTAGAAGAGTGTGATGTTTTGATGACAACACGGTCACCTTCATCAGACAGATGACCAATGTATGAGCATGGACGTATGTAGTGTCTGAAGAAGGTGACCGAGTAGTCATTGAAATGTCACACTCAAATCTTCTACAGGTTGTGTTATAAGAACATTTATTTCATTTACATTACCAGCCAGAAAAAAAGGTTCTGAGATAACAAGTGTCTTTAGTTATTCAGTATGACAGGTTTACTGCTGGTTTTACAAGGTGACAAGTGTCTCCAAGTCGACTCCAACAGTTGAATCCAATGTGATGTTCAGTTGATCGCTGACATGTGTACAGGGTTTATTCCAAACTTTATGTTACCTGTCACTACCAATTACTTCATTCAGTAATTTTGTGCTTTAGGGTACAGATTGACATTGTTCTATACAAAATTCTCCATGGAGTACAGCTCTCTCAAACCAGAACCACTTTCACCAGGGACAAAGATGGCGGCATTACTGTGGCTGGAGTGTATTATCAAAAGTTTGAAATATAAACCTTTCAAAATCATAAGCTTTCAGATAGATTTAGTGAGGACTTGTAATTGGTGACTTCTGTTTTTTTTTTCTGTTTGTAAAGACTACTGGTTTTTCACAACACAGCCTTACACTAAAATTTCGAACTGGAAGATGGAAGAATTTGGTCCAGGAAAGAAACCATAACAGTTTTTGACTGTATGAAATAAAATATTTTTTTTGCAGAAATAACAGTTGACATAATAGTATTAAATCACACCTGTCTCTATGGCCAGTTGAACAAAAAAATTTCCATAGTGCTAAAATCTTGTGATGGCTAAAACTCTGCTATAAAAGCTTCACAAGCGTTTTGACTTCCTATGAATTTTAGAGGACTCTGTAACGCAGCAGAATTGATTTTGTAAGAAACTTTAAGGATATTGAAGATTGTAAAAGATACTCAAGTACATTTGAGGAGATTTTTTTCCATCTGTAATGCTAATTGAGTCCCTTAAGAGCAACACACTGTAACTATCTGGGAATTCATGACGATTGGGAGCTTGGGAGGCAGTTTTGTCTTTGTAATTTGGTTGAGGAATACTGGTAAAAAAAGAGTTAGTGAAGCTGTATTCTCCCTATTAAGGAGAATTGGGAATTTAGGGAGCTGAAAGAACACATAAACACAACAGGAGATGTCTATAAAAATGTGATGTTACCTCATCACGTGTCAATGATCCTAAATTAGAGTTAAGAAATATCAAACTGCTAAGTCTTTTTTTTGGAAACAACATAGGATGCTGTGCATGTTATGTTAGGGCTGTATATATAATTATGGATTATGCATTGCTTATAAACCATGTTTTTTTGTATATCGCTACCAATTTAGGAAACATTTTCAAGAACAGTAATCAAATTCAGCAGAGAAAATGGAAGCTTGTCTGTATCATTACAGTGTGTGTGATGTTTGTGATGTACAGAAATTTCATGCTTTACGTTGTACTTTGGTTATTCCTACAAAATATCCATGCTGTATAATAAACTCTAGCTTTTCAGTAGAATTAACTAAGAATATTTTCTATATTCCTGTAATAAGTCTGCACCCTAACATTTAGTCAGAGGATATGTTGGCTCTAGTTGTGTCTGAGGTCATGTTGATTCTTGTGACTTTGAGTCGGAGGTAATGTGTTGATTTCAAGCTTAAAGATGTTGATTCCCCTGTTTTTGAGTCAAAAGTATTTATTGAATTTCCTGACCATTAGTAAGATCTTATTTTCTGGATCTCCTTTCTTTGGGTCAGAGGTTAAGCAAACCCCTTGTCTTTGAGTCAGAAGCTAGGTGTTGGCTGCCCTGACCTTAAGCCAGTGGTTATAGGTGTTGGTTATCTTGACCTTGACTCAGAGCTCATGTGTTGCCTCTAATGACCTTGAGTTAGAGGATTAGTGTTGCCTCCCCTTTCCTTGACTCAGAGATAATGTGTTGGCTCACCTGAACTTGAATCAGAGATAATGTGTGTTGGCTCACCTGACCTTGAATCAGAGGTGATGTGTTTGCTCCCCTGACCTTGAGTCAGAGTTGGTGTGTTTGCTCCCCTGACCTTGAGTCAGATTTAGTGTGTTTGTTCCCCTAACCTTGAGTCAGAGTTGTTGTGTTTGCTCCCTGACCTTGAGTCAGAGTTGGTGTGTTTGCTCCCCTGACCTTGAGTCAGAGTTGATATGTTTGCTCCCCTGACCTTGAGTCAGAGATGATGTGTTTGCTCCCTTGACCTTGAGTCAGAGATGATGTGTTTGCTCCCTTGACCTTGAGTCAGAGTTGGTGTGTTTGCTCCCCTGACCTTGAGTCAGAGTTGGTGTGTTTGCTCCCCTGACCTTGAGTCAGAGTTGGTGTGTTTGCTCCCTGCCCTTGAGTCAGTTGTTGGGTATATATAAAAAGTTATTAAAAAAGAAAGTTTGTTTAGCTAATAATTATCTGGAGATGTGTTGTTTGGCATTTTGATGTTTTGATTAAAGCAACAAAAGTTGTTACACCTGCAATTGTCTAGATTTGTAATGTTGTTAGGAAATTCAACCTTGCTACATGTGCTAAAATTATCAGAAAAAGGATGATGCTACCACAGATTATTCAAAGTGGAATCCTATTAATTTAGACCCTTTTAGTAGGACTTGGTAGTCCTAGAGTTTTACTGTAAAATCCGTACAACATGAATATTTGATATAATCTCATCAGTTACTTGTCCACAATTAGTTCACCTCTTTAAAGCAGACCCCAGTAAATTTGTGTGTGGGTTCCTGGGTACTAACAGTAGTACCTCTGTAATTTTTATTCTTCCAGAAGAAATCCTTTAATCTGGACACATATAATGGACCTGTTTTAATTTGGTTAAGTTTGAGGAAAAGAGGGAGTCTTGATTTAAAAATCATTGAAATGTGATTGTTCTTGCTGAATAGAGTTGAGGAAATGTGTCTAGTAATCTGATAATGTGTTAGTACGTGCATCGATGTGAAACAAGTGTACAAGATATCTTATGAACACCTGGGCAAATTTAGTTCATATTTACACCATCACATCATCAAGGTCCAAACCAGATTAGATTTTGGTGGTCAATAGTCAAGGTCAGTCACTACTGACATCTTGCAATAAAATGTCTGTGTACAAGATATTTCATGAGGCTCTCAATAGATGTGGTATATATTCACGCCATCACACCATGAAGTTCTACAGCCATTGATGAAGGTTAATGATCAAAGATCTGACCTTTGAACTCATTTGAAATAAAAGGATAATCTACCAGATATGTTATGTACCACTCAACAAAATAAGTTCTTATTCACAACATATCATCACACTATTGAGGTCTAAACTGGATTAGATTTTGGTAGTCAGTGGGCAAGGTCACTTTTGTCACCATTGACCTCTTCTAAAATAACAAGACTTAATAATAAAATCTTGTGAACCCTTCAACAGATTTAATTAGAAAATAACAAGACCAAGGAGTGAAGGTATAACAATTTGAGTCCCTGCTTAGATTGTTTTAATTTTGACTCAACACACATATGTATGATGAATCTGCTATAACCTGATTGAGGCTGTGAGTAAGAGTCCTCTGGATTTAGATAACATCAAAATGTGATTATAGATGCTGAACAGAAGTTTTTCAGATTCAAATTTATGACTTTGAATGTTGCTAAACATGACAATACATCTTTAGAACTGAGTATACCAAACAGACAGTACAGAATTTGACGTGATGTTTCCATTTATACCTTATTTTTATTCCTCCATTGTCTATGACAGGTGTGAGTTACCCAACTTAACCAGACGCCATGTTGTGATATCCCGCCTACACCACCCAGCCAACCTGGGACCGACAAGTCAGGAGATTCAATTTGTCATCCTTGTGATGACTCCCACCAAGGAGGTACATTCGTCCATGTGGAGCCTTCAGAGATGTAGAAAGCTTTGTATTGATCGTGGCCTGTTAAACATTATTGGAGAGTGCATCTGTTGATGTGTTTTGACATTATTTGTCTGCTTTATATGTCTGAGAGAGATAAAAGTTTTTATAGCCAATCAGACATGTTGTTGCCACCTTTACAAAGAAATTGTCCATTTCCCTGTATCACAAGGGACATAAATCCAAATGTTGTTGGCTGTTATTAGGCCATATAATTCCAAGTGATTTAACATAGATTTAGACATTTTTAGTGTTGCTTTATTTTCTATGTCTTTGCTGATTGCGTAAATCTCCAGTCGTAGAAAATACAAAAATGATAATATGCATGGATGTTTCAAGCAAGCATTTCACAGATCAGAGACTGAAAGTTAATGAAATTTGTACATTGTTTTTTGTGGGTAATTTCTAAACAAGAAGTATTTACTTACATCTGAGGCTGATAACTGACAGTTATAAGATCAACAGATAAACATTGCTATGGTGCATTTTTCAGAAAAGTACAAAGACTGCTTTAGAGACAGGACAGACATTCTCAACCCTGTTCCTGGACATGGATTTCCGACATCAGCTCCTGGAGGTTTCCACAGATGTCGAGTTCAAACAGTTGCTGCAGAAAAAAACGAAGTTGCTGATTGAGCATCAAGGTCTACCAGAAAATCGCAAGTCTCACCTTGTACTAAACTCCTCTCCATTTGATGACGAAGACGAGGTATGTATTGTGTGTGATGTTAATATTGAATGGTATGTCAAACATTATTGTTGCGACAGGTATGAGTGCTATGTGATTTGAGAACCATATCTGAGTTATGTATGTGACTTCAAGGACCAGATATGAGTGTTGTGTGTGATTTGAGAACCATATCTGAGTTATGTATGTGACTTCAAGGACCAGATATGAGTGTTGTGTGTTATTTGAGAACCATATCTGAGTTATGTATGTGACTTCAAGGACCAGATATGAGTTTTATGTGATTACAAGAACCAAATATGAGTGTTGTGTGTGATTTCAGGACCAGATATGAGTTTTATGTGATTACAAGGACCAGATATGAGTTTTATGTGATTACAAGGACCAGATTTGAGTTTTGTGTGATTACAAGGACCAGATTTGAGTTTTATGTGATTACAAGGACCAGATATGAGTTTTATGTGATTACAAGGACCAGATATGAGTTTTATGTGATTACAAGGACCAGATTTGAGTTTTATGTGATTACAAGGACCAGATTTGAGTTTTATGTGATTACAAGGACCAGATATGAGTTTTATGTGATTACAAGGACCAGATTTGAGTTTTGTGTGATTACAAGGACCAGATTTGAGTTTTGTGTGTGATTTCAGGACCAGATATGAGTTTTGTGTGTGATTTCAGGACCAGATTTGAGTTTTATGTGATTACAAGGACCAGATTTGAGTTTTATGTGATTACAAGGACCAGATTTGAGTTTTGCGTGTGACTTCAAGGACCAGATATGAGTTTTATGTGATTACAAGGACCAGATATGAGTGTTGTGTGTGACTTCAGGACCAGATTTGAGTTTTATGTGATTACAAGGACCAGATATGAGTTTTATGTGATTACAAGGACCAGATATGAGTGTTGTGTGTGATTTCAGGCCCAGATTTGAGTTTTATGTGATTAAAAGGACCAGATGTGAGTTTTGTGTGATTACAAGGACCAGATATGAGTGTTGTGTGTGATAAGAAGGACCAGATATGAGTTTTATGTGATTACAAGGACCAGATTTGAGTTTTATGTGATTACAAGGACCAGATATGAGTTTTGTGTGATTACAAGGACCAGATTTGATTTTTATGTGATTACAAGGACCAGATTTGAGTTTTGTGTGATTACAAGGACCAGATTTGAGTTTTGTGTGATTACAAGGACCAGATATGAGTTTTGTGTGATTACAAGGACCAGATTTGATTTTTATGTGATTACAAGGACCAGATTTGAGTTTTGTGTGATTACAAGGACCAGATATGAGTTTTATGTGATTACAAGGACCAGATATGAGTTTTATGTGATTACAAGGACCAGATATGAGTTTTGTGTGATTACAGATTTGAGTTTTATGTGATTAACAAGGACCAGATTGAGTTTTGTGTGATTACAAGGACCAGATATGAGTTTTATGTGATTACAAGGACCAGATTTGAGTTTTATGTGATTACAAGGACCAGATTTGAGTTTTGTGTGATTACAAGGACCAGATTTGAGTTTTATGTGATTACAAGGACCAGATTTGAGTTTTATGTGATTACAAGGACCAGATTTGAGTTTTATGTGATTACAAGGACCAGATATGAGTTTTATGTGATTACAAGGACCAGATATGAGTTTTATGTGATTACAAGGACCAGATATGAGTTTTATGTGATTACAAGGACCAGATATGAGTTTTATGTGATTACAAGGACCAGATATGAGTTTTGTGTGATTACAAGGACCAGATATGAGTTTTGTGTGATTACAAGGACCAGATTTGAGTTTTGTGTGATTACAAGGACCAGATTTGAGTTTTGTGTGATTACAAGGACCAGATATGAGTTTTATGTGATTACAAGGACCAGATATGAGTTTTATGTGATTACAAGGACCAGATTTGAGTTTTGTGTGATTACAAGGACCAGATTTGAGTTTTGTGTGTGATTACAAGGACCAGATTTGAGTTTTATGTGATTACAAGGACCAGATTTGAGTTTTATGTGATTACAAGGACCAGATATGAGTTTTATGTGATTACAAGGACCAGATTTGAGTTTTATGTGATTACAAGGACCAGATATGAGCTTTATGTGATTACAAGGACCAGATATGAGTTTTATGTGATTACAAGGACCAGATGTGAGTTTTATGTGAATACAAGGACCAGATTTGAGTTTTATGTGATTACAAGGACCAGATTTGAGTTTTATGTGGGACTTCCAGGACCAGATATTAGTTGTGTGTGATTTCGATGATCAAATATGGGTTTTGTGCAATTTCAAGGACCATGTATGAGTTTTGAGTTATGAGTATGAGATGACGGTTAAGGTCCTGATACATGTTGTGTGAGATTACTAGGACCAAATCCTATTACCCATTGTTTTCAGTAAGGATTGTAATATGTCTGGTGTATAAGTAGAATGAAAAGTAGATATTTGTGAACTAGAGACAATTGTATGTAGCGTGTTTATATGTTGTGTAGGAGAAAGCCATGTCAACTGTATTTATTTCAGATTCAAAACCAGATTATTAATGACAGCAGGGCCCATGTAGATACTTAAACAATTTATTTTTCATCAATTCAGATTGGAATTGGAAATTTTAAAGTCAATATTTGGATGCCAAATTAGTCCAAAGTAGGCAAAATCTAGAGTATATAATTATGTATATATAGATATGTTTTTATAAATGGGATTATATTTCAAAACTTAAAGAGCTTTCACGCACTGACACATGAAAACACTATTTCTGTTTGATTAACATTGTTTGATTTGATATTAAATATCTTGTTCTCTTTGCCACACAGAACTCTAGGAGATGTAATATAGGTCAGGGCATTTATAGAGATTTGAAGCGCCGCCTACCTCACTACCTGTCTGACTATAGAGACGGTGAGTTTTTATTTCTCTTTATGGGACGGAAACATAAACAACTTAATGTTGCTGTATACTGTAGTAGTTCATCACATTGAAAATAAGAAAACAATCAAATTTATCAGTGGAAGTTATGACAAACATTTATTTTGCATATGTCTGCAGCAGCTGAAAAGGTTTTCAATTATTGTCGACAACTAGATTGCACAATTTTCATATACCCCAAGCAGATTTATAGCTGTACTGGTCAAAGACTAGAAGAAAGGGCTATGTGATATATAGGCCAGCATCAGTCTGACTTAACAAGTTCTGATTATCACCCCTCCTCCTCCTCCTCCTCCTCCTCCTCCTCCTCCTCCTCTTCCTCCTCCACCTCCTCTCCTCCACCTCCTCCTCCTCCTCCTCCTCTCCTCCTCCTCCTCCTCCTCCTCCTCCTCCTCTCTCCTCCTCCTCCTCCTCCTCCTCCTCCACCTCCTCCTCCTCCTCCTCCTCCTCCTCCTCATCATCATCATCATCATCATCATCATCATCATCATCATCATCCTTAGAAGATTATGCTGTAGAGACAGGGCCCCCACCAGAGTCAGGGAAAAAAGCAACATTCAGACATTTGAGATTGCTGCCATGGCAGCCATCTTCAAAGCTGTTGTGGTCGCTATTCCTCCAGAACGGTTGATTTTATGGAGACAGGACATGTAGTAAGGGTATAATCAGTATAGTCAGTCCTTCACACAAAACTCAAACCTATATCACATGATATCAATAGACACTTTTTCAATACATCATTGTCCTGACTTTCGGTTTACTGTGAAATCTTATATTTTAGGGGGCTCTATTTTCCTGTTTTTTCCAAAAATTTCTATTTCGTAGACACTTGTTTTCATGGATAATTAGAACTCAATAGTACTACTTACACTTATGTTATCAGTTTGTGGTAACACAGCACTACTTACACTTATATTATCAGTTTGTGGTAACACAGTACTACTTACACTTATGTTATCAGTTTGTGGTAACACAGTACTACTTACACTTATGTTATCAGTTTGTGGTAACACAGCACTACTTACACTTATGTTATCAGTTTGTGGTAACACAGCACTACTTACACTTATGTTATCAGTTTGTGGTAACACAGTACTACTTACACTTATGTTATCAGTGTGTGGTAACACAGTACTACTTACACTTATGTTATCAGTTTGTGGTAACACAGTACTACTTACACTTATGTTATCAGTTTGTGGTAACACAGCACTACTTACACTTATGTTATCAGTTTGTGGTAACACAGCACTACTTACACTTATGTTATCAGTTTGTGGTAACACAGTACTACTTACACTTATGTTATCAGTGTGTGGTAAAACAGTACTACTTACACTTATGTTATCAGTTTGTGGTAACACAGTACTACTTACACTTATGTTATCAGTTTGTGGTAACACAGCACTACTTACACTTATATTATCAGTTTGTGGTAATATCGTGACATTTATTTGATGTTTTATCAATATTAAGATTTCATACTGTTTTACTGTAACAGTGTGAGAATGTTGTGTTACAAAAGGAACCACGTTTTATGTTCATGATATGCATACTAAAGTATGCAATATTTGTCTACCAATTACTACATACATTATCGTCTGTTGTGTCCTTGTTTACTAATAGAATTGTCCCATCTAGAACAATCTTAAAACAATGAGCTGCTTTGCTGAATCATTTAAGTAGAAATCAATACAAACAGAATTGCAATTAGTGCATAAAATATTTTTATATAAATTGTGGGGGAAATAGTTAAAAATTTCAATTTGTCATACTTTTGGAGGTAATGGTAGGCAAAATAGATCCTCTGACAATTGTACTGCTCGAGAGCTAGTTGATTTGATCGGTGAATTTATGGATTAAAATAAAACAGGAAATACTGCAGATTAATGTAGCCTAGACTAGTTCATTAGGTCCAAGCTTGGCAGGCGTGGATTTTCTGGCATTTGTGCTGCAATCATTTGGCTTTAAGGGGACATATGTTGAAAAAATAACAATGTTAAAATCTTTTAAATCCTCTGTCAGCTGAGAAATGTCAGTATTGATTTTGAGTTCATTTAGATGTCTTTGATAACCCTGTACTGGCCGACATCTTGCAGACAGCATGGATCTATGCTGGCACCATTGACTTTCTCATTGATTCCACATGGTTACATATTCCTATCAATTTTAGCAGACTTTTGAGGATATTCAGATGTGCAAATAATCTGATTTTTCAACACTATCGTGATATAACTTATTATGCAGAGATGAAAGCTAGTTTTCTGCCGTTAGCTGGTATCAGCTTTTTTGGAACTTTAATCATAACACAAGAATGAAATTGTAACTTGCAGCAAAGAGTGAAACGGCAAATTCTGGCCTTTTATCTCAAATGTCAGTTTTCATCCCTAATTATGATATTAATTGTGCTGTCTCAGTCTTGCTAGATATTCTCTTTCACATAAGTTATGGAAGCTACTACATATCCTGACTTTTTCATCTTACTACAAACACAATGTTGTGAAAGATAGGAAATAAAGGCCATGCCTTATACAGAAGTGCAACACGAAAATGCTGGTCAAGGCACGTTGTAGGACAAAAAGTAACTGATATTATAGAGTACAAGAGCCCCTAGTGCCTTTACCTCAAGTTACAGATATATAATCAACAGTGGTCATTAATTGCTAGTTATTTATAGACAACACATCATTGATATATAGAAAAAATGAAATGATTTCCAGATTGCTCCTGCTTAAACATCTTCAGTGGGTGTTTTATTGGTACTGCAGATAGCGAAGTCTGACTTGAAATATAGCAAGACATATTAAGACCCAAAGCATGCTACCATCCAAGGAAACAAGATTAAATAGCATGAAACTGGTTTTATAACTTTGAAATTCTGACACAGATTTGAATTTGAAAAAGAAAACACAGAAAAACGGTTAAATTATATATAAGTTGTTATATGTGAAGGAGAAGCTGTACCACAAGTAGGTCCATAGAAGGATGAGCTTTTCAACTTTATCGACCTATATGCCGTAAACGTTTTTCTTTTTACAAAAAAAGTTATAATATAACAAGGGAATAGAGCATTCTGTAAAAACTTAGTGAAATAGCCTTCAGAACTACCAGTCAAGTTTTCAGGGAATGTTTAAATCACATTAATTCTTTTTATTGTAAAACCGCTGCAGTGCTAAATTTTTCTGTTTTATCCAATGTGTCAAGGTACCTTCACATGACATTTGTTCCAAAGTGACATAATTGCAATGACGTCATATCCTATTGTTTTTCTGATGTAAAATTGATGTAAAGAAGATAATCTAGTGAAATTTGAGAAGTAGGGAACAAAAATAGCTGATAAGGTTTTTATGTATTTTGATAATGTACAAGAAATAGAACCTATTACCTATTTATGTACCGGATCAATTTATGTTCAATCCATCACAAACACTTGTCATGAAAGCACTGTGATAGAAAAGAATGTCTTTCTGTCACGGTTTGGTATGTATGACAAGACACGAAAACTAGAATTTATCGGTTGAACACGAAAGGGAACCATCTGAACTGGTATCATCTCAAACATTCTCTTTCATGTTCAAGAAAAGACTGACTCGACAAACATTTTGCAAATGTACCTAAATGTTTATTCCGTTTAAGCCCTAGAGGCCGACACATTTGAATTATGGCTTGAAATGAGTGGGTGTGCTTACTGCAAGATAATGCAAGATAATGAAAGCAGGCACAGTTAGTATGGGGTTTATGCTACAGTTTTGGTCTTATTACTGAAAAATTTAAGAAATTGTCAGTCTGTGATCTTAGCTCTGTGAAATATCCTGTGTACCAACCATAAATAACAATCTGTGTAGGAATTTAAATGGTTTAAGTAGTAAAACAGTATAATAAAAGGATTCTCATCTTATCATTAGATGACATAACGTGAGCGCATACCTTTGTAGGATTCACATTTACAACTAAAATAAACTCTTTTGATAAAAAAACAGCAGACTCTTAATTTTGTCTGCAGAGGAAGATATGATCCACATAAAACACACTTTCGTTTTATAACACGATAATGTTACTTTAGCTTTTTGTACTGAAATCTACAGGTTAACACTGTACTTAAGATGTTACCTCAATATAACAGGCAATGCAGTGCTGATAAATATACATATAACTCTCTTTAATAGGAGGTAAGAAAATGAATTAGATGCTATAACTTAAAGAATGATGCGAGATTGATTGCCCATGTGGAATATCATGTTTGAAGTATACTGCTTAATGATGAAAGCTCTTGCATGTCTAGCTCGACATATCCTAACAGGTATTGTTTTAGCATGCAGAAACTCAGAGTGGCAGATAACTTTTGAATATGTAAAATAAAGATATTCTACCTGAGAGGTCACAAAAACACTGGTAAACTGAAGGCTCCTCTTTCTTGAGGCAGAGGATCTTAATTACCACATTTTATGATCCCATTGGTGCAAATGTGAAACTTTTTGCACATTTATCAAAACATCAAATTTTTTTTATATGTAATCTGCAAAAAAAATTGTTTCGTCTGCAATACTCTAAAAAATCAATTAGTGATGGAATTCAAGGCTGTTCAGTGTAACTGTCAATCATGATAGTCGTAACAAGAGGTTTTGGTGCTGAAACACATGGTAATGGTATACTTATAGTAAATTGATGATTGTTCATGTCTGGAGATTCCATATGTGAAGTCTGAACAGGGAAACAGAGGTTCTATATGTGTAGTCTGAACAAGGGAACAGAGGCTCTATATGTGTAGTCTGAACAGGGGAACAGAGGTTCAATATGTGTAGTCTGAACAGGGCAACAGAGGTTCTATATGTGTAGTCTGAACAGGGGAACAGAGGTTCTATATGTGTAGTCTGAACAGGGGAACAGAGGTTCCATATGTGTAGTCTGAACAGGGGAACAGAGGCTCTATATGTGTAGTCTGAACAGGGCAACAGAGGTTCTATATGTGTAGT